ATTAACATTTGGAACAATTATTAATTGACATTTGGAACTGTTGTTAAACATTTGAACTGTTATGAATTGACTTCTGGAACTGTTATTAAACATTGGGACTGTTATTAATTAACATTTGGGACTATTATTAATTGACATTTGGAACAGTTATTAAACATTTGAACTGTTATGAATTGACGTTTGGAACTGTTATTAAACATTGGGACTGTTATTAAATATTGGGACTGTTATTAAACATTTGAACTGTTATTAAACATTTGAACTGTTATTAAACATTGGGACTGTTATTAATTAACATTTGGAATAATTATTAATTGACATTTTGAACTGTTATGAATTGACGTTTGGAACTGTTATTAAACATTTGAACTGTTATGAATTAACATTTGGAACTGTTATTAATTGGACATTTGAACTGTTATGAATTGACGTTTGGAACTGTTATTAAACATCGGGACTCATATTAACTGACACTTGGTTGCATACTGCTAAGTGTGTCACAGTTTTTCAGCAACGCAAAGAAACAGTTTATAAACAGAATTTAGGAATTTCTCAAATCCAAACCCCATACTTGACCAGTTTGTGAAATTAGCTATATGATAGTCAAACCAACGTATACTTACAAACCATCGTATTCTGAACCAGTTTTTAGTGAGCATAAAAAAAATCTCGCAAATCGCATTCTCTGTTGACATGATATAATGTATTCATTTATATTGAGTAGGAAGAAATGAACAACCAAAGTTAATTTTCCAATTAATCTACACGTCGTTTCTCATAACTTTCGTACACTGTGAACGAGAGTAACTTGTCAAAGACGTAAATAAATATAAGATATACAAAGTACTGGATACATTCTCGTTGTTCGAACTCCGTAAAATGGTTGTTCATACATTTCTTTGATATTTTGAAAACTTATGAATCTTAAATGTAGAAATTAAAATACTGTAAATCAGGTGCGTCATTTAACTGAGCGAAATTAGAACTAATCATGGAAGCAAAGTGATTGAAAATTGGTTTTGTTTTCGGTTTTAAAACTGTGAACAGTGCAAGTTAAAGTCACAAAATGTTTGAGAACTCTCCCCTTCTCCAGAATCAAAATCACAAAAGCAATGATATGATTTTAAAATATGTTTTGTCAAGTTATTGCGTTATAAAGCATTAAAAAAATATTCGTGTCTGTCTATTTGTTCCTTATTTAACTACTTCTAGGTCGCTGGGTCAATCTCAACCAACCTTTATGGGATGATACCTTGAAACAAGGGGCATGTTATAGGGGTTAACAACCATCTCCACCACCCATTATTGCTGTTATTGAACATTTATTATTTTTCACTTAAATTAACGTTAACTACATACATAGATGGCGCCACGTCCTTACACAAAAGAATAATATATTTTCTATAACACAATTTACTCAAAGTGCGGGGGGGTGGTAAAAAAACGTTTTATATATCTCAGAGAGTGCAATTCTTATTTTGACC